CTGAAACCTCTTAAGGAATGCACTCAAGTAATATGGGAGCACGGGGTTAAGGAACTAACTAGAAATGGGAACGGTAATGCCATGATTATCAAGGTTGTCCAGGTGGTCGTGTTGGGAATCAGGAAGGGGAGCTTAGTTGAGTTTTGAAGATTGAGTGTGACAGAAGTAGGTCATCTAAACTGGGGTGAGGCAGAAAAGTAGGGCTTTCTAAGCAGAAAAAAAAAAAGAGTATGTCAAAGATAGAAAAACAAGAGAGAGCATGCAACAAGGATTTTGCAACTAGTTCATTGTGGCTGTAGTTTGGAGCACATTTGTCTGAGAACTCTATTTCAAAATAAAATAAACTAGCTTGGAGAATTTGTTGAAATAAAAAAAGAGAAGGAAAGTAGAAAGCAGGAAACTATCCAGGTGACCTCATTCCTATCTGTGGCCTTACTGCTACCTGCATGTGCGTGACTATTCAACTTCCAAATCCAGTGCTGGTGACTCTCCCAAGCTCCAACTCGCCTGTATAATACCTCACACTAGGTTATCTCCTAAACTGAACTCTTTAAACCCTCTGCCCCAAATCTGTAATTTCCAGAGGGATATATATGTATCTCCATCCATCTAGTTGTTAGTCTCCACTTGTAGTTAATGGACGAGTCCTGGCAACACCATAAGCTCAGTCTGTCCTCCACTGTCTGTCATCGGACGATGACGATGTTTTCTCACCCACTATGATCGCCCCCAACCCATTCACAGACTGTGCAACCAGAATGATCTCAAAATAGTGGCTCTCAAACTGTAGCCCCCTGGTCACCTGGTGTGCCTGGTTAAAAAAATGGAAACTTCCCAGTCCAGATGACTGAAACAGGATCTATGGGGATTCCTCTGTGTCCAGGAGTCTGTGGTTTTTGTTTTTGTTGTTGTTTTATGCAAATCAACAAGTTTTATTTTTCATGTTTTTTAAATCATTTTTTATTGTTATTCTATTACAGTTGTCCCATTTTTTCCCTCTTTGCCCTCCTCTGCCCGTCTCATGCCCCACTCCCACCGTCAATTCCCACGCTGTTGTCCATGTCTGTGGGTCCTTCATACATGTTCCTCGTCTAGGCCCTTCCCCTTCTTTCCACCATTGCCCCCCGCCCCCTTCCCCTCTGGTCACTTTCAGTGTGTTCCATGTGCCCAAGCTTCTGGTTCTATTTTGTTTGTTAGTTTATACTAAATCCCATCTCCATCCCTTTTTAACATTAACATTTAAGAATCATCCATATGTGAGCAGAGTAGCCTAGAAGTTAAGAGGGGCTACCTTGAGCCAAAATGCTTAGATTTGAATTTTAGTGTGTCCCTGGGCAAATAAATTTTCTGTCCTTCTCATTGGGACAACAGTGAACTCTTGGTTGCTGTGACGTTCACATGAGGTAAAACGTAAGTGGTAGTTTATATTGCTTCTCACCAGTATTTCTAGTTTTCTTCTGCTTCCAAGTACATGGGAGGATTGTACTTCTCCTCCCCTATGAAGTTGAATGCGCTTGTGTGATGTGCTCGGAACAATGAAATGATTCGCCATGTTCTCTCTTCCCTTCTCATCGCAATCATGGGAGTACATGTTGATGTGGAAGTGTCCAAGGCAGTGGCGCTGGAATAATGAACCAAGACGTGCAGGACAGCTGTCCTGTTCTCTTGTGAAAGCAAGACATAGAGGTATAGTGTGCTAAGTCCTTTAGATGTTAGCATTTGTTGTTTCCACAACATAGTATCACCCAGCCTAACAGGTACAACTTCCAAGCCCTTGGAGTAGGCCTGGCTGATAGTAACTGCTCAGTGATAGCTTCAGAAGAGAAATTCAGCAATGTGGCTCAGTGGAAGAGCCATTTTCCCTTCACTAACTTCGAACATACACCAGATCATGACACTCTTCTGCTGAAAATCTATCCATTGCTTCTCATGGAACTTAAAATCTAAACCACTGACTTGGGGCACACAGCGTTGCTGGCTCTGGTCTCCAGCCTTACCTTGTTTACTCTTCCATTCACTCTCTGGCCATATTGACCTTGTTTGAACATGACAAGCATTTTCCTGGGAAAGGGTGTTTATAGTTGACAAGATCTGAGCTTGAGTTTTCCTCCCAGGTCTTTTCTTACCTTCGTGTGTCAACTTAAATGTCAGGCCCTGGAAGAAGCCTTCTCTCTCTATCCAGTGGAAGCAGATGTACCTTTGTACCTCTTCATATCCCTGTCTCAATACTTTTCCTGGGTCTGTCATGCTATTCTATTCATCACAATTTGAAATTAACTTTGCTTACTTATTCACTCATTTCCTGTCTTTCTCTACCAATAGAGAGGAAGCCCCACAAGGACAAGCCAGAGCTCTCTTGTTCACAGATTTATCCTCAGAACTAAAACAATTCCTGGGCCCTGACCCATGTTGCCCAACCATGGGCTCAATTGGTTGGCATCATCCTGCAAAGTGCAATGTCACCGGTTTGATTCCCAGTCAGGGCTCATGCCTGAGTTGTGGGTTTGGTCCCCAGTCAGGACACATACAAGAAGCAACCAACGGATGTTTCTCTCCCTCTCTTTCTCTCTCCCTTTCTCCCTCCCTTCTCCTCTCTCTAAAAACTAAATGAATAAATAAAAATAAATAAAGAATAAAAAAGTTGCTGGTTATGGAAGGATGAGGTGGGGCAGCCAGGGTTGAAAAGAAAGAGGCAGGGAGAGTTGTCTTGGAATTAAATGGAAGCTCATCCTAATATAAAATACTACCTTAAAATAATTATTCCCCAAGGAAATTGAGTTTCTAACCAAAGTGATGAAAAGTTCTGAAGATTAATGTCTTTTTTGGGAAATGATGTTTTATTACCTTCAGAAATGGTATAAACTATAAATTAGGATATAAGTATGTTCCTGCCAAAATAGATAAGTCAATAAAAATGCAATTCAAAATCAGATTTTATTACAAGGCAATGTACTATAAACACAAAACTCCTGAATCTGAATTACACCTTTTATTTTGAACACTTCACTCAATAAAAATCTGATATATTGGGTCCAAGTGATGACACATTCCAAACTAATGAAACTTCCCTGTAGCTTAAATAAACAAATTCAGATCACCAAGTAAAATCAAAGCCAAGTATATTTGCACAACTCAAGAATGATATGAATGACTTAAAACCTCTAACGGTTTATCCTTCACCATTTATAACAAACTTTGAGAGTCTTTTGACACCTTATCAGAATACATTTCCAAGGACCAAATACTAAAACATACAAAATGTTCTCTTTCTACTCGCTTGTTAAAAGACTAAGAAATCTAAGATACCAAAGTATGAGGTGACTGGTGACATGAGATCACAGTCATTTAAGGAGGAGTCCTCTCAAGTGATTGGGGTCAGGCCATCTGGATCAACCTTGGGCAAACTTTCTCTTTACCGTTCTTGCTTTCTCCATGTTGAATCACATTGTGTAACTAAAGGGGAATACCTGTTGGTTATCTGTCCACTGCTTTCTCTCATTCCTGCAAAGGTGATCCAGAACTCTTAGCATGGATCCCCCAAGGCCCACAGGTAGACCCTCCTGCTTGAATCTTTTGGCTGGAAAGGTCATAAACTAGATCTGTATGGTGAGAGGAACCAAAGAAGGTCAGATGATCTTGATCCCAGAAGAATCCAGCCTCTGGTTATAACTGACCCCATCTCTACTATTTGAAATTAGCTGTTACCAGAAAGATGCTACAGGGAAAAAGAGCATAACTTAAGTATATGGTTCTCTTTCATTTCTATTTTCAACAGTTTATAATAGGACACAAATCTTTCTCAAATTTAGATTTTTTTCCTTTGTGAACAAAAGACAAATGCTAGTTTAGGGGTTAGAGTCTATTACATTATACCTCACACTCTGCCTCCTAGAGTTTTTTCAGGTTTGTTTTTTTGTTTTTTTGTTTTTTTCCAAATACCAGGAGATATATGGGCTCTTCAGTCAGCCATTGGTCAACATTTATTTAGCATCAGTCTTACATTTTTATTGCCATTGCTTCTTTGGTGGGTTACAAATGAACGAATTTCAAGTCAAGTGCTTCTTCTGTTAAGCTTCATACTACACTCAGAATGAATGAATGAATGTTTGAAAACCTGTCTGAAGGAAGGCAACTGCTGTTTTTCTGGTCAACACTCAGCTTAGTTTAAGGGGACAAAGGTAAAAAGAGTCCACACATGTTGTTTTAAATCTTTATTTGCTTACAAAAGAGAATGCAAACGGGTTTGCAAAAACTTATCTGCATGTACAAAGTGAGCCATGTAGGTAAGGAGGGCAAGCCTTGGGATCCTGCCACACAAATTGTTCATCAAAATCGCATCTGTTTGTACGAGCACTGGTGGAAAGTCACTGCTGTGCAAGTCAAAAACCACTGCAAAACTGAATCTATTTTTTTAATATCACCAAATTCAGAAAGGATCTCTTATCACACATATTCTTGGATATCAGTGAAACTAGTTACCAGGTGATCTCAGAGTGGAACACATCAATTGAGCAAGAGGTAGTTTCTCCAATAATATCCCTTTTTCTTTTCAGCAAGCCTATCGGGGATAGGGATAAATGGCATATTGAATCTTTTTAAATTCCTATCCTGCCAGGGCTCTTGAATACAATCACATCTATCTTGTTGCATTTCAGGACTTGACATAATCTAACAGAAAAAATTCCAAGTTCAATTTTTCTTTTTTTTTTTTTGGTGCCAATTTTCCTCTGAGCACTCTTCTCTGGAAAAAAAAAATAACGAATAATCTGGCACATCATTAAAACAACAAAGAAAAACAAACCCTATGGTGTCCTAGATTAAGGGGATTTTTTAATATAATTTTTTTGTCAATAAAAACAATATCCAAGGAGGAGATTTAGACAGATGACACAAGCCCCTATAAGGGAGTATACAAACCACATAATGACATTCTGCTTGAATGAGGTCCCTGAAGTGTTCTTGCAGTTGGTCTGTTGGTCTTCAAATTCCTCAGGAGGCTATCAGATCCCAGAGCCCCACAGTTCCATGGCTTCCAGCTCGTCTTGGACAGGAGTGAATTCCGGCTGGTCAGGATGGGGAGCTAGAGAGGAAGAGTGGGGGTGGGGACTTGATAGGACCCAGAAACCATAAGTTGATATTCTCCCCTCACGTGGGTCCGCAGAGACGTAGATTTGATCATTACGCTACAGAGGCATCCCGCTTGGGTAGAAAGCAGTAGCGACCTTTACCCACCACACTGCTCGTTCCTTCCCCAGGAAGTTCCAGATGGTTAGTAAAAGGAGAAAGGGACAGATACATTACAGACATGGTTAGGAAACCAGAATCACAGCCAAATGATTAAATAGTATGTGTTTTATTTACAAAAGAAACCCTGAAAACTCAGCAGAATTATGAAAAATAAAATTTAAAAACCGAGCTCGTGTTAGAAGTCCACCACCAGGGGGCAGTAGGGAGGTTAGGTGACAAGAGGAAGAATGGAGAGGGGTGGTGAGGGAGAAAGGTGCGCATCAATCTTGTGTGGGGACAGAACTGAGGAGAAGGCACATATAAGTAACTTTATTACTGAGCCTTCACACAGGTGAGTTTGGAATCAATTCTTGGTACAGAGTCGTATACTTATACCCAAGCCAGCACGGAGCAGTCTGTTTCTATAACAATCAACAGAGGTTTTGGTTAAGTTCCGGTATTAACATGGGGTGTGTGGGGAGCAAGGAAGGCCAGAGATGTGACAGTGGGCAGAAAGGGAAGCAGGTGAGGCAGGGAAGCAGAGAGCCCGTTGTTAGGGGCGGGGGGCTGGGTGGTGGTGGTCAACAGGACAGTTCTGTCTCCATAGCCAATTGCCCAGGCCAATATCATCAGAGTGGAGGAGTTCCACTTCAGTGCTGGTAATCATTGTAAGGGATCAGATCTTAATAAAGGACAGAGAGATTTGAGAGAACAGGGAGGGAAGAGATGAACAGAGAAAAACACATCAGCAAAACTCTGACCAGTTGTTCTGGCAAATAAGGTTAAATTCCTCCTACAGCAGAAAATTTAAATTTATTGACTGATTAGCTCATCGCTTCAAAGCAGTCTCTGAATCTTTCTCTTGACACTTTCAAGAATGACTGTGTCAGGAAATGTCTCATTGTACAACCCATGCAGCCTGCAGATGTTTATAGAAGTATTATCTTTTCAGAATCTCCTACCAGGAGTTAGTAATGAGGCAAGGACGGCATGGCCACTTTTGTCCCTCTGTAAAATGATCTTTGGTCATCAGTGCATGTGGTGGGCAGGATGTCACCCCAAAGAATCTAGGGGATCCTAGTCATGAGGAAGTTCTAAGTGTGAGGTTTCCTTCAAGCAAGAGTAATGTCTTACAATAGATTATGGCCATACCACAGTGGTAACACAGATGGAGTGGCCCAAAAGAACGTGTGAGCCTGTCCCCCAGTGACCAGCTGTGAGGTCCCAGGCCACATCTGTGTGAACTGCCATTTGGAAACAAGGGAGATTTAGATGTGCTGTCATTTTGAACTTCTTCTTCTGGTTTTTAAAAAGGTAACCTTCAGAGTAATTTGTACTTTATAGAAGATGCCTCTGGAGAACATAAGGTAGTGAGAAGTTCCAGTTCTGCTTCCCTCCCATATTTGGTCTATTTTTCACAGTGCCCCTTCATTATTGTGGTACAAATTTTAGTAAAACATTGCTCAAAGCCCACAGACGCTGGCACTTACCTCCCACCCCGTAGGCAGAACACGAAGAGGGGTCGCAGTATCCAGGCTGGCCAGAAGGGCCTTGTGGTCCAGGCACCCCCAGGTGACCTGGCGGACCCCGGGGTCCAGGGGAGCCAGGGGGCCCCGGACTTCCTGGCCGGCTCTCCCCAGCAGGTCCTGAAAAGCACCCACAGTGAAAGTGGTTGGTCTTTTACCACCACAGGGTGAGTTTTGAGACCACCAAGAAATAAACTCACTCTTATAAGAAGCAACCTCTCTCTCTACCCATTGAGATCTTCTTCCTAAACCAGAGTCCCTAGACAGTGAATCATACTGGAGTCACACGTTCTCCCAGAGGGCAATACTTTTAATCAGCTCAGAAAACTAGAAAACAAAATCTATTCTTTCCCATAACCTCTTGGAGATGAATGAAGGAATACAGCATGCTCAGCCTTGTTTTCTGTATGGAGCTTCTATTTCCCAATATGAATCCAATGTACGGTGCACACACACTCACAGTAACACACGCAGTCTCAACCTCATCATCTATACTGGTTTATGGCCCCAGATAATTGAAACAAATTAGTCTGTGTCTGAAAAAAAATTATCCTGTACAAGGAAAAGAAAAAGTCTCAAATTGGACCCAGTACACTAATCCCAAATGCCTTTAGGCTGGTTTATGTCAATTGAGAACTTATCATGAAAATGGGCATTAAAATTTTTGTGAATTTAAAAAGATCATTAGGTTTTCTGTTTATTTTTATATTTGTTGGTTTTTAATCCTGGATGCCAGAAGTGTTTAAGAGACATTTTTCAATTAGAAATAAAATTCTTTAACTGGAACTGAAATGTAAATTACGAACATATTTAAAAAGTGTTGTGGCTCTCAGATACATTCAGTTTCATTCTATTGACATTCCCCAGTGTCCATTCTGTGTACTCATGATGCTGGACCAGTTACACAATCTAAAATAACAGAAGTATTTACACTCAGAATGAATCCATTGTACTAGAAATCTCTCCTAGAAAAAGTGTTTTCCAAAATAATTATTAGGTTAGAAAGAAAAGTCTATAAAGTATGTGCTTCAATGTGGTTAAGACCCGGATTGCAAATATCCAATGGAATTGCAAACTTACATTTCTAATAATAAGTAATCATCTGAAGACCATTCTAAAAGGACCTATTAATGTACACAAAACTCGAACTTTACACAAAATTCATTTGGTGAGACCGCCATGGTGGCAAAAACTATCAGTGCCCATCAAATATCTACACGTTCCTCTAGATTTTGAACCTCCCCTGCAGTTGGAACTATGTGACTAACCCTAGCCAGTGAAATATGACAAGTGACTTATGTCAGCCTGCATTTAGGAATCTGAGAGCTGATATGTCCCCTTTATCTTTCTCCTGGGGGCCTCTTGTTTCAAATGGAGTGGGGGAATCGTCTTATATCAAACTTTGCATCATGCATATGATATAAACTTTTCTGGTGTCGGTCCACTAAACATTTGTTATTACAGCACAGCCTATCCTATCCTATCTCATGCAACTCATAAGATCACAGAATATGCAGTAACTTTGGGAGCTTATATTAGGAGGATCGCTACTAACAAATTGGCCCCCTGACAAAATAAATGACGATACAGCCATTCCAGTTAGATAAAAGGACGTAATATGGCCATTTTCCTCACCTGCAATATCCAGTGCATATAAAGATTGAGGATTTTCATTTGCAGTTTTCTATTAAGTAGGAATATTTACCTGCTGGCCCAGGGGGTCCTCTTGGGCCTTGGCTTCCAATGCCTGGATTTCCTTTTTCTCCCTTGATGCCAGTTAAACCTGTTTATTAAGAGAAGCAGGAGGAGGAGAGGGAGAAGAAAAAAAAAAGCTCTCTTTAAAATGAAATCTGGTCATCCATTTTCCTGGGTTTGAAAAACCCCCTCTAATGAAGACAACGATGCGGGTTGATCTAGGCGATGGCTGCCATGGGACTTTTAAATTAAATCCTGACACTGGTGACGTTTGCAAAACCACACACAGGAGGCTGGTTCTGCATCTGAGCAAGCAGTCTGTCCTTGTAATACTGCAAGGTTATCTTCCTCCTTCCTACTGAAGTGATTCGGCCGGCCAGAAGCTGGCCTCGGGCTTTGCACGAGCCAGGCCATTCGATGTATGCGGTTGGCACTCCACAAATAACACAATAGAAGTCACAAGTGAACATGTCTAACATTTTCCTTTTGGCCCACCCTGTCATGTATCTGCAAAAGGCATGAATTATAATTAGGCAGCAAAGTTCTGAAGAGCGTGAGTTTCCATTAAAAACTTGGAAGCTTCAGGAAAGCCTGTGTTTGATTTGGCTGATTCAGCTCCATAAAACTCTAAACCTATTCATGTGTCTTTTCCACAAAGCAGACTTCTTATTCCAAATAATTTATGGTGCTATTAACAAACTATACATTTTCACAAAAAACAAAGCAGCATAGATTCTGACACCTCATTGTCTAAGTGGGTTCTACCACGGGATCATTGGGCAGGTGACAACATGCTGTGTCCAGGCGCAGCCAGGCCAAGAGCGGATTGCATCAGCCTGGGGTCTGGGTTACCCTGACTCACATCACAGATCTCTGTTGTCTGGTTTTCATGTGCAACAGTGCTTTGAAGTAGCAAAATGTGGAACTACATCTCTATGTAATCACACTTAACAGAGAAATTGTGTGATTTGGCAAAACATGGAAGGGAGCATAAATAAATGAAGATAACCCATCAGAAAGGTGGCAGGCATGCAAGTGATTGAAAATGCTCCAGATTACACACAACTTTTTTTTCCTCATTAAATGCAGCACATATTCACTGTACACAAATTAGAAAACACAATATGCAAGGACCCTGGCCCTTGAAAATAATCACGTTTACATCTTGGTTTATAACTTCCAGAAGGAAAGGTGTTCATACAGTATTTGCTCTGGAATTAGTAGACTAAATATTCGTTGCCAAAAAAAAAAAAAAGAAAAGACTCCTGAGCCACCAATAGTTCTTTCTACATGATATGTATAATCATAATCAGTACACATAATTGTCCCTTGATTTGAAGCTCTGGTGACTGCTGTGTTCCTTGTGACCACCTCCTCGGGTCAAGGTACCCTGGCTTCCTTGTTAGTGGTCCTCAGGGCTACTCCACCCACTGCTATGCTTCCCCAGCACCCGTGCCTACTGCACGTGCATGGCCTTGGTGTTTTCTGAGTTCAAAAAAGATCAGCGGAGCTGAAGAAGAGTGACACCGACCTCTGAGTCTGTCATCTCCTGTTCCTGACCTGATTCTCCTCTTAGGAACTGATATGGAAGAGAGTGATTTCTCAAAAGCAAAATGCCATTGAATATGTTTTTAAAGAGCACACAACTTAGACTAGCCAACACTTAATACTTGATTGCCAGGCAAGTTGTTCAGACAGAAAACTACCTTAAGTACATCCCCTGGGTATTACCCAATTAGCTAAACTAGTAGCTAATTGGTTAATATTAGAGTGAGTACTTTGTAGTTTATAGGTGCTTCCTCACTTGCAAAAGAGTGCACCCTAATATGCATCTGGGAATTTAACAGAAACTGCTAGAATTGGAGTCACTTTCCCTGCAGGGAACACAATAAAATACACCAATGACTAATGCCAGGATGTTCATGATTAACTGCAGGGTGGTTCAGAGGCCTCCCATGACCTTATGATCGGTCCTCAAGGACTGATGTTAACAATGTGGTTTCTCTACAAGTAGAAGATGCAGGATCTACAAGTAGAAGATGAATAGGACCTCCAGGAAAGTATTCTCAGGAAGAGTCCCTGATAAGAGTTTCCTGACTTATCCTTTGCTCATTCATAAAGAAAGCAAAAGATGGAGAAGAATGGGAAGTAGAAAGTCTAGGTGTTTTAATTTTCTAAGTTATGTAGATAAAAACAAGTGGAATGTGGTATTATCTATAATACAAGAAAGAAAAAGTCTCACAAAAATATTCCAGCCACTCAAAATACCCTAAAAGTAAATTCTAGGAATACAGTTATATATCACCAGAGAATTTCAGATTTTATTATCCTGAAGTTATGATCCAACCCAAGGCAGGCTAATATATAAATATTTGTCCCTGGGTTCACTGATGGTTCTGAGACTGAAGGAATACCACATCCATGTAACTGAACTGGGTTATAAATCTATTTTTGGAATGAAAAAATAAATCCATTAAAAATCACTATGTAAGTAGCTAAGATGAGGATTGAAATGAAAGACTAAGCTTACAGACTGCAGATCTCTAAAAAGAGATCTGGATACATTTTTATAAGCCCTGTAGGCCTTGATTAAGAGGAGGAGAATCAAATGTCCTAAAACATGAGCCTGTGACAGTCCATGAGATGACAGAAGGCAATGGAGTCTGGGCACAGCCATTCCTCATAGACAAAATGAGTCATCACCCATAAGGACTTCCTTCATAAACCTCTCTGTGAGGATGCAAGATGGGGCCACTTGGTGCTAAGTTAGGGTCACCAGAGCTAAGTGCCAGCATCCTTTCCAAGGAATTGGGACTCCTGAGTGGCCGGGATGGTCCCTCCTTCTGACACACCCTTTTCACCTGGGCTGTCTCCACTGATACTCCTCATTCTTCAAGACCCAACTCAAAGCTTCTCACAACCATTACAGGCAGAAGCATAAGGAATTGGAGAGGGCAAGGATTATCTGTCTGGTTCATGGCCATATCCCCAACACTTCTCTGGAGACTTCCACATAGTACATAACCAATAGACAGTGAGTGAACAAATGGACAAATGAACAAATGAATGAGTTCTTTGCTTCCACATTACTGGTACCTCCTTTGGCAATTAATCCATTGCATTGCTTGTTCTTGTGTTCATCTCGTCGAACCATGAGCCTGTTGGCTGTGGGGATCATCCCCTATTTATTGCTCTCGTGTCAGATCCAAACAGAGTCTCACACATAGTAAGTAGATGTATATTAAACACTGGTAGACTAACTGAACAACTGAACATTACTATCAACATGAAGCTGACTGTTAAATGCAAGCATGACCTTGAAGAATCCACAAGCAAAATCCCTTAGGCTGGAGCTTCACTCTTACTTTCACATGCCGGGCTTATGAGAGCAATGCTTTTTCTAACAAGTTCCCTGTGTGGCAATATGAACTATTAGTTCCCCTTAGAGATGGGTATCATTGACTGCAATAACTTTCACTTTCTGCCATTAAAAAAAAGGAGCATAACTGATGTAAATGAAAATCTAATTAACCAAAATATGATTTAGCTAATAGCCTTAGTTTTCTGGGCAGTTAATAAAAATATTTAGGATAATCAGAGAAGTCTTTTCTATTATTCATCCATTTTTTGGGGGGGGGTGTCTTTTCTTAATGACAACTTTTAAGATCTATTCTTTTAGCTCTTACTCTCATTAAAATCTTAATCTCTTACTCTCTTATTTCTTTATTAAATTTTTTAAAAATAGATTTTACTTTTTTTAAGAACAGTTTTAGGTTCAAAGAACTATTAAAAGGAAAGTACAGAGAGCTCCCATATGCCCCTCGCCTTTGCATTTGCATACCTTTCCCCAGTATCAACATCCCCCACCAGAGTGGTAAGTGTGACATATCTGTCCTCCTTAAGAGTCTCATTAGAAACAATTCAGGGCTGCCTGACTCTCCCTTACCACTAACCTAACACTGGCCCTCTAGTAGTTTCTCTCACTGGTTTACTAAGTCAGAGAGCTGTTTCTTTTAGTTCTTCACTGTATTCCCAGTTTCAGGCACATATTAGGCACTCAGGAAATATCTGTCAAACAAATGGATGAATGAATGAAATACAAAGTCTGACTGTAGACTTTGACAAACCAAAGATGTGGCTAGTTGATTTATCAGCTATGCTTCTACATGACCTCTTTAGGTTTTGAATGGTAGATGCTTTATGTATAAGCTCATTTAGTCTTTGTAAAAAAACAAGAGGGCAGCTACCACTCTTAATCCTAAAAGAGGGCTGGAATACAGAGAGGTCAAGTCACTTGTGTTTAGCTCGGAAGTAAGAGAGCCAGGTTTTCACCCAGGCAGGTGGGCGCTGAAGCCGGTGCCCGTGACCACAGCGCTCCCTGCCTCTCTCCACCCCAAGCTGGCTCTCCAGGTTGTGTTTCTAGTCTTGTTTGCTGTAGTTGTGGCTTCCTGACCTGCCTGCTGAAATAGTATGCATATTTTCTCTGGCTCAAAGTCAACCCTGCGGTTGTCACATTTCCTAACCTTACTTTCCTGGGTTTGTACATTTGACCTCCGCTCTGAGCAAGCCTTGGGGTTGATTTCAAGAGAATTTATGCTGCTTACACCGAGTACATGCCCAGGGTCTGGCCCTTGGTCATTGGTTTCCCATTTGTTTGACCTCTGAGTAGGCAGAGTTTGCTAACTTCTTTGCTCCCCAATCACACCAAGCACTCCAGGCTGGAGTCTCATGCTACTCCATGGAGCACAGTCACCCCCTCAAGATCCCAGACATTCTGAGCAACATCCAGGATCTATGCTTAGACAGATAGGCAAGGCCTGGTTAATGCTTTAATTGTAAGTCTACCAAAAATTCACCGACACTGTGAGACAAGGCTTCAAGCGTGTTACTATATTGTCTATTGTCTGGGAAATGCTGGCGATATATTGCAAGTAGAGTCTGGTTTTCATTCAACGTATGTTTGAATTCCTACTAGGTGCAAGGGGCTGGACTGGGCACCTAGCTACAAGACATCAGGTTTGTTGGACTCAATTCAGCATGTTTTGTTTTGTTTTTTGTACTTCTCCAGGCTATGTTATCTGTACATAT